AAAAACTGTGCTCTAGGTGAGGGTTGAACTCACGGCCTCCTGCGTGCATACGGATGATGCAATCCATATAAGACAGGCACTCTAACCACTGAGTTACAAGAGCTGCTTTTTCGAATATTGGTCCGTACATTATGACAGCCATAGTTGAATCATCCACCGACGTCCTCAAGTAGCCCGTCCATCCACCCCTCGGACCCTCCACAACCTGCTGATCAAACAACACTGTCCATAACACCAAATCATTCAAACGCGATGTTATGTTTGGTGCTTAAAAATATTGAAGAATGAAGGGTTTGTGTTATGATCATGATGGAATGTCTGTTTCTGGTGGATTGGAGCTTGTCATTAAATTGTTGCACTGTTCATGGTTTTGGTTGATCTTGAGGATCAATGCCATCAAAAACAAAGCCTGCATCACTTTGAATATTATTAGTTTCAGGACCAGTATGGAATTTGTTAACATCAGATAGAATATACAATCCATCTTTAGGCTGAATTCTTATCATAAACCCTTCGCAAGTTGGTGATTTGATGCCAATGACTCTAATCCTGGACCAATAAACTAATGTTTCTTGCCAAACCCACCAACTCAACAGCTGTCCAGTGAGCAATACAGCTCAGTACTCTAGTTTGCAAGATTCCAAAACCCAGCCTTGCAAAAACGTCAAGTTCTGGCTGATATGACAGAGCAATTCAATAGCTCCCATTCTGTTTGGAAGGCAGCAGAAACAGTAGCCCAAAAGCATAGTTTGAGCAAGGATCAGGTGCGCAGGTTATACTGCAGAAGTAAGAGTGCAGGACAATTGTATGAACCAAACTTTTGTCAACTTACTTGAGACATGATCAATATATAATTGTCCTATGGCATGTTTAGACTTATTTAATTGATTACATCAACAATCATTAGGCACAGGGACTTTCAGAGTGGACAGCACAGGCATGGTATGATGGTTTCAAGGAGCACAAGGATTGCATTAGACTCGAAATTCAAAAGCTATCAGTACAGCTTGCACGTCACTGCTTACTGAAGCTGAGGTCAATGACTGGGTTGATTAACTTGGTTAATGTGGATGTCTCTTCAACAGTTCTTCCAGCTCCAATTAGCAATCTTGCATCAATGCTTCTGGCGAACAAATACTTGGTCTTTTGGTTTTGCCAAAAATCCACAATCCTGACCTGGAAACTGGAAACTGGCAGAAAGACACAATTCCTATAAGAACAGTCTATGGTACAAACGGGTCGGTTTCGGGGTCGGGTGTCACTCAATACCGCTCAGTTGGGCGGGGTTCACGGGGCCTCCTGCGGGTTTTTTGGGTCAATCCCGAAAAGGTGCATTAAATTAGAGTAAAGATATAATCATTGTCAAGTTCAGTCAAAGAATAAAGATAATTAAAAGAAAAACATATAATCTTCCTTCCCGCAAGTGTTGAAAACCACGTTGGTATACCATAAGTTCAGCAAGGTACTTATCAAGTTCTGTCTTCAGATTCCCCAAAGCAGACTGCACTGAAATCATACTCGCTAAAAGGGGAAGCTAGCTTCATCGGGGTTTTCAGGTTGTGTCGGGTCGGGACGCAGTACAAAATTGACCCGACAGACGGGTATGCGGGTATCGAGTTTCCCCGCGGGTTCACCCCGACCCGCTCGCACCTTAGAACAGTCTTCTGCGAGACTGAATTCTTGACAGAGGAAAAATTCTGTTTCTTGCTGAGTTTAAAGTCTTTTGGAATAGTTTTCATCCAAGTTTGAGCCCTGTTGTGGAAGGCATCTGGAAAAGGATCAGACACCACCTGACATACTTGAGTTAGGTGGCCAAAATGAGTTTCTCCCTCCTTGAGCTGAGAGTTGGGTTGACCTCCTGTAAGGGATGGAATGGAGGCACCATAGGTATGTGTACAGGTCCTGAAGCCACAGGGGACTGATCAACTGGGATCATGAGACAGGTTTGGTAGATGTGAACCAAGGACATGTTAAATTGTTCTACATCTTCCAAAGTATCCCTTTCACGTCAACACAGAGCTCCAGCCTACCTTATAAATGATGAAATGGAGGTGCAGTGATGGCACTGACATGTTGATGACAGTCATTGGGGAATACCTGCAACTACAACAACTACAACTACAGTTTGAAAAATGCAATAAACAAAACTGGGAAGGAACAGGCTTATTTCAACTCCTGTCTCACATTCTAATGACTTTAACACTTTCAGACTTCAATAAAATGCTTTATTACCAAATCTTATCAAACATAGAATAGGTTGTCTAAGACCCCCCTTTTTGTTTGGACAGTTGTCCCGTCAAACCAACCAACCCCACGCTGCACCATTGAAGTTACAGGCCTCACTTTGGGCAACAATGGTTGTTCTTGTGAGGTGCACAATAGCGGAGCTGTTGTCAAGTTGTATGATGTTGTTGCATTTGAGTTAGTGCTGCTGCCATCTTTTACACTTGAATACTTAGCTGTCAAACCCATTGATTCTGGATGTTGAATCGGATTTGTACCAGATATTTTGCACCAATACTTTAAGCACTTGATTCAAATGGGAACTGGAATGGTTGTGGAGACATATTATGAGGGACATAATTGCAGGATTAAACGTCAGCTCTGGCATGCAAACTATGGCATGATTATTGTTGAAATCGATGCAGAACTTGTTTTGGATGATGACTTGACAGACGGGTATGTCTTAGATGTGTCTGATTGCCTGTCTCCTAAACCGATTGTTCGCAAGAAACAGCCATCCACCTTTGAGTGTAAGCCAACTACATGCAGCAAGTGTGTTAAGACTGGGCATAATAAGAGATCGTGTATTTAAATCTATTTATTAAGTTCTATTTTTGATTGATTGAGTTGAATAAATAAATAAACATCTCTCCTCTGTGCTGTGTTCTTCAAACCTGAAGCATATAGCTCATCATAAAAGCCTATATGCTTGCAGCTGTTGATGATAGAATCTGGTTTAACGAGATCCCAAGCATCCGCAATCCACTTTGAAACATTTTCACGAGTGTATCCGCTATCTGGATTGTCCATTTTCCATTTGTCACATTTTCTATTGATCTGATGCTTGAATAGGTGATTGACTCCAACATCAAGGATTTGTGACTGAGATGTGCAACCTTCTGGAACTGAAAGCATCCTGATGCCCAACTTTCTCCACTGATCGGCAACAAGCGCTGTTGAATGCGCCGAGAAATGATCAAGCATTAAGAGAAACTGCAGTTTCTTCTTTCCTGCAGCCTCGTATTCATTTCGTTTGAGCTTCTCCCCGGTAAGAGTCACTGCCAGCTTAACCGTGGCAGCTTGACATTGTTCTTGGTGCTTTTAACTTTCACGTCCTTTGATCCTTTTGGCTCACATAGCTATTTGCATTGCAATGTTCGCAGGAGGTAATTGTGCCAAGTGAGTTTTTTGACGCAGACTCAAATTATGGCGATTCAAGTATTGATGTGCCCAAGCATACACCCTTTTCATCATTTGTGAAGCATCTGGATTTCCATGATTGAATGCCTGAGGGGCTTTATTCGCAACAGTTTGAGCAACCCAATCTAAGGAAACCTTCTGCATATCTCTTCGTTTTCTGTTTCCATGGCTTCTGGAACCTTGGATTTGGCGCCTTGGTGCAATGTTTTTTTGTGCACTTTGCCTGGAGTCTTTTTGAATAGCATCACGTTTTGTCTGCCAGTCCTGGATTTGCTTTGGCTGGCATTTGTGTCTCTTTGCAAGTGATCTGATGGAAGTTCCTGGAACATCCAACTCCCTCAATATGGCAAGCTTATCTGCAAGTGGTCTCGAGTTTCTTCTCCATGATGATAGCACGTCAAGTGCATTGGACACACTTATTTCACCTGACTTTCTCTTTCCAACTCTCCTATCTCTATATTTTGATCAGTATTCATGATCAGTATTCATAATCAGTATTCATAATCAGTATTCATTAAAGCAAAGCAGAATTGTTTTCTTGTTCATCGTCACTGCTTTCTTCAAATTAATACCTGGCTGTCAAATTTTTTCCTGAATGTCTCCATTTTCTTGAGACAGGTCGTAGATATAGTCCTCAAAAAGCATTTCTGGGTTTGTGGCAACTTCTACAACAGCTTGACACCCAACACTCATCCCATCAGCCAAAATAGCCCCGCTACCAGATTCCCTGCCATAATTAAGTTTGAACATGATATCAGTTGCTGAATTTGGGTCCAAATTGTTGTCTTCATTGGTGTAGTGCTCCAAATTGTAATACTGCCTGTCATAGATGTTCATTCCCCATCCTTGATAGTAATCACAGTTAGAGTTCTGAGAGATTCCATACTCTTCAAATATGGTATTCAAATTCATATCCACGTCAGCTGTGTTGCGTCTGTCTGAAATGCAGAAGAGAATGATTTTTTGTTTGTTCTTTTTGTCAAGCCCAAGTTCCTGCAAGACGCAGAACTGACCATAACTCAATTAAGTACTCCCGTGACGCCGCAAAACTGAAGGAAATTGCAAAGCAGAATGGTACATTAATCTGATATGAAAATTATGGACTTCGTGGGTGAAATGTGAGTTTTTCACAGAGCTTTGAAATACCAGTTTTGTTTTGTGTCCGTTGTTCAAATGTTCCCTATAAATGAAATACAACAGTACTATTCTCACATCATTCTACAGAGGAAAATATGCCATGCAATGGACCAATACTTGCAGAAGAAAACTTAGCTGTTAAATTGTTAAATAAGGCTTTTGATTTCTCCAGAAATATCAAAAAGTTGGATCAGGAAATGAGGGGCCTTTGCAGCTCAGAAAAACAAGACAACAATTTAATAATGATGATTAAGTAGGTACACACAAACCCTTCATTCTTCAATATTTTTAAGCACCAAACATAACACCGCGTTTGAATTATTTGGTGTTATGGACAGTGTTTTTTGGTCAACCTGCTGTTGAGGGTGCGAGGGGTGGATGGACGGGCGACTGGAGGACGTCGGTGGATGATCCAACTATGCCTGTCATGATGTACGGACCAATGGTCGAAAACGAAGCTCTTGTAACTCAGTGGTTAGAGTGCCTGTCTTATATGGATTGCATCATCCGTATGCACGCAGGAGGCCGTGAGTTCAACCCTCA